CCCCCCCCCCCCCCCCCCACACACACTAGTTCCGAGAGGATACGATCAACTAAAACGCCCAACCCGGGAAAAGGATGGACCGAGTTGTTTGGATCTACTTGTGTGTGTGTGTGTGTGTACATGTGCGGTAGAACCTAAGCTAACAGACTGTCATTCGTCAGGGAATGAATGGGTCCAGAGGCAACTAACGTCGAGTTGGTTGAAAACCCTGGCCCACCGATTGTGTTCTTAAGATTCGGCCACGTAATACTGTCAAACATCGTTCGAATGAGTGTGGAAAAAAAAGAAGTAACAGACCAATGCAAGTGAGGAAACGCGCCGGCCGATCGGAGTGGATTTGACCGTTCCTATCGTTCTTCTTTCTAACACATCTGATCGTCTCGAACTACTCACATTTGACTACTGCTTCTTCACAAATAAAATGAACCGATTGGGGTCGGAAATTCGCATTCACCGAATGGATTGTCTTCGTGAGCTTTACACTCAATCGTACATCGAAAAAAAAAACGTAGCTGCGGATACGGATCTACTGGAAAAGATTGGACAAATAGTTTGTTCCGTTCACAAACCCTGAATAGCCTGTATCGAGTTGCGTCATTTATCCAAGTGACATCGGCCAGAAACAGCAAGAACAGAAAGCTAAAGGTCAAACAGTTGTTCCATTCCGATGGGTGAGGGGAGGGGCGTTTCAACCAACAACGGATCCATGGTGAGATTGAATCCAACTGCAAATAAGATGTTTCTGGTCGATTTCCAGACAAATTTCGCATAGGACATGAACACTTTTAACAATTGTCGACTGAGAAGATTGAATTGACTAGATGCGTGAATCAGATTGAGCAGTAAAATTGTCAGAGAGACAGAGAGAGGGAAAATACCATTATTACACACGAACACACATTACCATTCTATTCGGTTTGTACACCCCCTGACCGCGTGCAACCGCGATTCAGTCTCTCTTCGGCAATCCATCTGATCCAACGAATGTAGTACGAGTGAAAAGACGTGAGTGCACCACGGACGAGAAGGTCTGTGGTCCGTCAACAAACGCTGCTCTCAGTAACACGTATACAGTACTAAAAAACTTTCCGGTTCCAGAAACGGAAACGGGAGTAGAGTATCGAATTTGCCGATCCCCGCATGATATCAATCACCATGCCCAATATCCATTGACTAATAGTTACCGCAACATACACACACACACGTCTGTCTCGTCTGTGCCGATTGAATCAGCAACAACATCCGTACGGAAAAGATTAGATCAAGTGACGGAGCAGACAGGCCTCATTTAGGTGAGAAAATCGCAATACGAATTACCAGTAGAAAAAAAACCACGAACCGTCAAGTTTCTAGCAAGAGATTTTTTGGTACTGTACTGCGTGCACAACAGCGAAGATAAACGAAAGATAATGTCCACCTGCTGTTTAATGACCGCAGAAAAATGCAGACTGCGATGGCAGTGAAAACGAAAGAGAACAATAACTTCAGCAAAGTACCCAATTCATTCACGTGTTTGCACGGGGTGTGGAGTGTGAAACACAATCTAGATGATAGTGATTATAAGTGTTTGCACAGTATTAGGTAAGAAGAAAAATTCTCCGTATTCGATGGGAACAAAGTAACTACCTACCCGCCTACCTCGTTACAGTTTTTCTGATTACACACTTTCGTGTAATGAACAGCAAACATTATAGTCACGAGGACCTCCTGTTCAATGATGGAAACTGGTAACCTAAGCCCCGGGACTTGGAGTGGGGCGAACCACATAAGGCTCCGATAGGTTCGGTGAGGTATTGGACCGGACGACAGCAAAGCTGCCTACCACAAAAGTTGGGTGGCGGGACTCGAACCTCGGACCATAGGGTCCAAAGCACGCCGGTGACAGCGACTAAACCACTGTGCCACCATCACCCACAGCTTATGGTCCTGTTCCCGATAGAAACACAAACGCCTGGAATAAGTGACAGTAAATACGTATATGCACAATTTATGCCTACATTTTAGTCGAAAATGTGCATTGGTTGTCACATCGAATACAAAACGAACACTCCGAAAGAAAACATGCAACATGGAAAATGTAGCAAAGTTTCGTGTATGCACAAAAATTCGCACGTAATTCAGTAACAATCTGTTCTTTGTTGGTTTGGGGCAGGACCGACTAGGGCATTTGGGGGGATTCTTACAAATGCTTGCAGGAGAATGTAAGTGCCAGGGAAGGAAGGAAGAGCTTATAGACGGTTTATGGGAACGTCCATACGACAACGGTACAGTGGATGGAGGTGATCCACAATCTTGTTGGTAAAGTTGATGTGTGTGGGGACGGAGACTGTTAGTAAGCTGTGATTCATGAATCGACCGAACTGGGGGATATACAACTGACTATCACCAAAATCCACGACCAGCGGTATTAAGCTTGGTTTTCGGCGGCCAGAAAACACTACAGGGAGCAGGAAAGAGATTGGAAAAAACGTATTGGTAGACGTAAGAGGAAAAAAAACAGACTGCGGGTTTCCGCAACTGAAACACTAGGCGTTTTAGTTTACCCCGACAATTTTGAACGTGTGTAGACCACCAGAGATTATTAGAGATGGTGAGACTCGGATACTTCACAGAGGTCAGTCTAGACGGTGGATTACAGTCAATGTTGGCCGAGTCCATTGGAAATATGAAGCTAGAACTGAACATAAACTCTAGATAATCAGACTGTATTGGGATTAAGACCAAATTGGTGGAAAACAACAGCAAGTTTGTGACAAGTCAGACCGTCAACTGCAAGGGAAGTCCTGACCTGATCGGAGGCATTCCATCGGAGTTAACAGATAGTCAACTCGCATTTAACTCACAGTTATTTGTGAATAGTGTTGTGTGTCAACTAAATCTCCATTCGTTGTTGTCGGGCCAACAGTGAACTGAGTGCTTATCACTGAAGATGATGCCTGAACATATGTGAATCCGCAACTCAGTTCAGTCCTGGTGGTATGAGCTGGTTGACACAGTGGTAACACACATACGCCCTCCTCGCGATCGGTCCGAAGTTCAAAGCCCAGACGGGACGGTGGATATGCGCCACTACTGATGAGCTCTATCTAATAATAATAATAATAATAATAATAGTGAAACTCGAATAATCTAGTGCATTCGAGTGTTTGGTTGACTGGATGAACTGAGGATTGTGCGTGTAAGTGAAGTCCGAAGGATGGACAGTTCGAATCAATGAAATCTATCTGCTGGCTGATCTCAGTTTATCTCTTTCGTTCAAACTTACTACCCGTGGGTTTGTCTCGGACAATATCAACCGGACAAATTAAATATGCGATCGAATTTAGCTGTCTATTATCCAGTATCCTCTCTCTCTCTTTAACTCGGTTGTTTCACGAAAAAGGTATAGTGTTCCTGAAACATCGACAAAGTTCGATGGGCGAAGATTGCATACACCGACAGACAAACGGCTCTCTGTGTCTGACGTTAAAGTATCCTCCGACTAAGGGAATGGAAAAAAGATCGTTCAGTGAATGAAAGCAACTTTTGTCTTTTACGGTGCGTTCAATTACGTAATACAATTGGAGATTTAAATACCGTAATAACCGTTTCTTTTTCATGACTGGATAGTGTAGATGGCTATTTTCTATTCCGAGGCGATGCAATCGATGGAGTATCAAAAAAAAACTTAAGTCTTACATCCGCCAGTTGAAATCGGTACCTTTTATCGGTTGTTAATAAGTTCCGAAGCAATGTAAAATAACCGAACTATAGTAGCAACCGTATGTATACAAATATGTTAAGTGGAATTAAATATGCCAGCGATAAGACTGGCCTAGAACTTTTGTACAGCATTTTGTTGAACGTTTTAACGGTGTACCGTTACCATGTGGCACGAAAAAATTCTTTCCGAGGTAAAAGCACGTGTCTATGATAGATGAATGACAGACAGACAGACAGGTGCTTTGTATGTCTCTCCGAATGAGCAGAGGTGGACGATCAGAGAGTAATCTCGTGACTGGATGCATTTCGATGGACAGACATGGGATGCACTTAGGCGAACGACAGGCCAACGCGAACGAATGTGTGGATTACCAAGCGAATCAGAAGAGAGAGGATCGATATCTGCTCGATCAGCTGATGCATGTGATAGATGACGAGCGAACGATTGTGACCGAAACAGTATGAAACAAGGGACTGGAAAAAGACGGAATATCGAGAAATTCGGTTATGTGACCACCATAGGAGCTGACGACTTGGAACGTCTGTTAACCTATCTCAAACAAGACGGAGAGGAGGGACACACAGAATAGACATATGATGTACGTATCCCAAAGTAATCACAGGGAAGTTTAATTTGCTGAATGAAGTGAACGAACACACGAACGAGCCTCCAGACATCACGAGTGCAGTTTCGATTTCTATAAACTGTAAACATACGGCTGCGTGAAACGGATTTGATTGGTAACTTTTGGTTACCTATTTTGATGAAGAAGTAAAGATCGCAATGCTGGAAACAGTATTAAGTTGACGATAGAGAATTCAATCAGACAGGGATTGAGAAGATGCACCAAAATCAATTTTTACGGCGCTCAGCCATAGCAATAGTGCTCGACAACCGTGGGTTGTGGCCTGAAAGGTTCTACAGTACCGTTTGGTCCCCTAGACCTACTCCAGTTCCTAAAATTTAACCGTATATGGATAGACACATTCAATGTACATAACAAACCATGGTATTACTACTCAGCGCCTGTTATAATAGACTGCCGTGGAAATACACCACCCGAATGAACTGTAGGCAGAACTGGAAGACTCGGAATGAGTTCCCTCAATGGAAAATTCCGGTTCGAGTTGAATTCACCTGCATGGAACATTTACTCTACATGCGGGGGACGGTACCGTACGTAGTTTGCCACTCTGACCGATTCACAGGGTTTGTTTTGGCGGTACAATATATATATATATATATATATATATATATAAATTAGTGTAATAAGAAGCCAAGGGTGTATAATATTTTCCAATACCGTTTCTCCTGGTGCTATTGTGGCATTTTTCTGTCCAGCAAGTACACTGCTTGATTAGTGGACGTGTCAGTAGAGATTCAAGATCTCCAGCCGCGCCCATCCAAGCAAAAAACGTTCCGAGGGGGTGGGGGGGATGGATGGAGGGAGATAATAACGATAATAATATACAGACCCAAGCAAGTGTCAATTAGAATGGAACGACCAAGAATATCAGACGTTCAATATATTAGCGGTCGATCATGTAGTTATGAGGTTGATTTCGGCACAGCTACGGCACGAGACACCCAAGAAGCTTGGGCTTAGTCTGTCGCGGAGAGATGACCGAGTTCAAGTAAAGGCAATTGAGTTTCGACGCGAACTCAACTGGTGCAACGAAAAAGGAATCACTGCAAACTTTGCTCCTAATGATTATCTCTTATCAAGTTCATTGACTATTCCGTGTGTGTGACAGTACATATATCTGATACCACTCTGATTAGTTCGTGCTAGTAGAGCAGATTGATGTCCCGAGGAGAAACAAGCCGATTACCGCTTAGTCACCAGTGAACAAGAAAGTGAATAAGATGTAGACCAATGCACTAAGCACCTCAAATCTCCCATTGAAACTTATGCGTTCAAGGATGTCTTAGTTCTTGAACACCCGGACGCAGTTGTACACGATAGTCGGGCTCCAGTTTTCACCGGTTCAAGAGAAACTACCAGCACAACAGGAAATGACCCATGCATTACCTAGCACATAATAATTTATCAATATTACCACAGTTGTGTGTGTGTGGATGTGATTCCAGGTGCTTAGAATAGGATGGGAATTTTCTGTGACAGCTAAGGGAAGATTAGAATGTTCACGTCCAAACGGTGGCATGCTTGCGTTCTGCCTATGAGGTCCCGGGTTCGATGGGTTCCCATTGCTGATGAGACCCAACCAGATCGAAACAGCGGTCCAGTGCTTCCTAGCTTTTGCCTCCGAAAGCCTCAGTATGGTCGGGGGTGGGGGGTGATGGGCGGAGGTTGCGGCTGGTCACCATTCCCTTGCACCTCTCGAAATGCTTTCATACGAGCAAGCGTCTTAAATAGCTTCTGCTGAGGAAGCCCCTACTCATTGCCTTCTCGTGATGGAGGTATTTTCCCTTAGCAAAGTGAAAGGACGAGAGGCCATGACCGTGTAGGTGAACTACTGGCCGTTCATCAAGAGGAGCTGGTTAAAAGACCCTGATTCCAAACCAAACCTTCATGGTTATGGTAGTGGGCACCGGTTCGATTGGGCATCAAGGTGTATTCGAGCACGTTGGACGTTTGACCCTGTCCAAAGGGCGTATAATCCGATGAATTGGACACTGGCCCCTAATGCATGGGGGTTTTTCACACACGGCTGCCGCTGCCTTGCCGAAGGCTCTAAGTAAATTATTCTGCTTTGGCCTGAGCAACCTGTCCGTATCACGCCCACGAGCAAAATAACGGAGTTTTTCTTTTTTCTAAAGACCATCATATCATGATTCTTCTGGCACACAGTTTGAACTCAGGTGTATGTGAAAATAAATAAATACTGAAAATACATCGCGTGTTATGCTCATGGTCGCCAAAAGCCAGACTGTCTATGTATGTATGTATGTATGTATTATTGCTCGTTACTCGGTTTGACAACATTCTAATATCGCTAATATCACTGATTGTCCTCATTGCTGCCGTACATGGGAAAGTAACGTGTTGTTCTGGATAACTTATCAAACCCAGATCCATTTGCAATAGTCTACAAGGATTACTTGTCGCCGGATTGAAACCAGCGCAGTGAGATACAATACGTTCTCAGTTATGTGGTTGATTTACCGGCTTGTTATACAGATGAAACTATACCTGTTTCAAACATCAAGTCTATATAGACCAGAGAGACTGTGTGCACGCGCGCGTGTGTATGCCATTTTGATATTTTGTCAATTGATGAAACTCTTCCGGGATTGTTGTGGTATTTGCAACCTCGAGACAACAACTTTGTACGTGTCGGTGGTTGGATGGGATCGGATGAAATAACAGAAATGGAGAAACCGAGTGCGGGTTTGTGAACGCGAATCATTGATCCTGACGGACAGTGAGTGACCCTAGACAGCACGCTTGCTAGTCACACAAGCCCACTCTTCTGTCTGGGAATCCAAGAGGGTAGAGCTCGATTTTACGGGACCACCATAGCTTGTGTAGTAGAGGTGAGCACATACGAAAACAAGACAATAACTGGCGAGTAAATAACAGTGCAATCTGTTCAGCAAGTCAATTCACATGCGGGAGGGTGGGTAGGATCGATTAGTGGAGGAAACGCAGCCCCCACTCCACCCACACACACACACATTGTGACCGTGGCGGAATACGAGAGTGAGAGCCGACAGTTCGAACAAATTGATAGACTAAGGAGACGGGACGGGAGGGCGGTTGAGAAGCAGCACGATCTCAATAGTTTAATTGGACCTAGTTGATATGCCTTCGTGTGTGTGTGTGTGTGTGTGTGTGTGTAAACCGAAGAGAATGGTGAGCACAAATGAACGCCACAGCATGAATGATGCCCAGAACGAGTCCCAAATTTAATGCAACGAAGCATAAACAAAAAGGAGAACCAACAGTGCAATTAGCTACATTCGGTGATTACGACCGCTTCTTGGGATAGACTACACAGTGTGAAGAAGACAT